AGGATTGGGTTGGAAGGCAACGGTCCCAATTCATTTGAGACCTGTAGCAAAAATAATCAAATAGACACACACAGCTGTTTAGAATCCTGCTCAAGTAAGTGAAAGGCTTGCTGAAGCCAGAGTGCTGATGACAGGAGAGACAATGCAGGCTTCAGCAGCGCCAAAGAACTAAGCAGGGGTGAGCTGAAAATTCAGACTTCAGCATTCATTAAGACAAGCCTGAGATTGCTAATTTTAGACACAGCTTCTGCTGTAATACAAGTTATACTTAAAGAATGAGCCAGGAGTGTTTTGATCACAATGAACTGGGACCAGCACCACCAGCTTTAACAGTAGAATACTGAAATTGAAACAGTGCAGTAGTGGAATCAGACCTCTGTCTCTGTAGGTAACTTAGATTTACAAATCCATGGACAGAAATAAAGAGCAGCACTCTGCCTCTGAAAGAAAGTGTTAGGGCATAGTCTCTGCTTACCACAGGTTTTTTGTGTTCTGTAGCTGCAATAATAAATGTAAACTGTATAAAGGTGCAGATATGAAATTACTGGACTCCAGTGAACCAGAGATAGTTGCTTAGATTATCATTGAACCAAAAAAACCCCAGCCTTATATAAAAAAGGCAGTTAAAGAGATAAATATAGTCTATTTCCTCCTTCCAGAGGTCTACTCCCAAAACACACATTCAAAATGATCTTTTATGTCTTATCTATTATTAAGAGACAGACTTGGAAAATTTCTGGGCTTTTATGAACTGATTTATTAATCTTATGATTGTAAGTGTAGCCCCCCAAAATTAATAATAGTTTTACCTGTTACAGTCTTTTCTTTCTTCAGATATCCACTGGAATACCATCAAACCCTCTTTATTGTATTAATTGAGATGAATGTTGTGGTCTTTACCTCAGTATGCTGGAAATAAAATGTATTGAGATGTATTTCAGCTGAAGGATAAGAAAAGCCATAGTAGTTACAGATTTAATTATACATTATCATTCTAGTACACATTTGTAAGCACTGAATAAACTCATGAATGTTACCTTGAAAATGCATTTCTTTTACATCACAATATAAGCACTATTTACCCTCAAGAATTTTGGCCCTAAGCAGTTGACAACAGAAAGTACTGGCCAAAAAGCTGCTATCTTTTTATTTCTATTATCTCTGCATTTTTCAAACCGTAAGAAAGAGAATGAAATTTGAATCTGGCATCTGTACTCTAGTAAGAATGCTACATTTAATTTCCAAAGTTATTACAGATTTCAGACCAGGAAAGAGGCAGCTCGAATTTCAAATCAAAACTTCAGTTAGGAGAGTCAGCAGTTAAAAAAACAGCCTCAGCTTATGCTCAATAGAACACAAACACTTTACTCAGCAGGCAAACATCCAGTTATAACACACATATTTGTGTCCTATCAGTCTATCACCATAAGTTACTCAACAGTACGAAGGCAAGATTAGCTACACCACTGTATAATCTGAATTTATCTGTTTATAGATTCATGAGTGCTGATTGCTTGTTTTATAACTCCTTGCTGCAGGTTTTTCAGAGTAGTGATTTGAGTGTAGCTCAAACGGAATCCAGCATAGAGAGATCTCTGGAGGAATGGGACATCTATCAGAGCCTTCTCACCCACAATGTCAGTAAAGGCAGAATGGAGCCAGAGGTCAGTGAGAATTCCAAAAACAGTGACAGAGGTAATACAGGCTCCAAAAACTGACTCAGTCGTTTGTGAGGACAGAGGAAGAAATTATTAGCTGAATAGAAACAACAGGATGATCCTTTTACTTACACAAATTGTATCAATTAAACTGAAATTGATGCAAAAATACCACTGCAGTTAAATCTGTGGCAAGCCCAATGAGATTAAGTTACACTGTCTGAAAAACAGATAAATATTTCTTTTAATTTCTATATGCAAATTTACAAAACTTGAAGTATTCTAGATTAAGGGAATCTGGACAGAATTCTGCCATTTAAGAGCAGCCACTTAGTTAATGAATTTTAATTTTTTTCTAGATATAGCCTCAGACGGATTGAGCCTTGAGATACACATGCTGCAAGTGCATCCCAACAAGACAGCAGCATTTCAGATCAGGCAGTCACCTCTCTGCTTTGTGCTAGTAGCAGTGTAGCAGCCTCCCGTAGTGTCACTGTGAGGCTCAACTGGCCTCCAACTGATGCCTTAGGAGAAAGAGATTTTGTGTAATTTCCCCCATTCTTTAATCTATTCAAGTTCCCTAGCTTTCAACTGATTACAACACCACAGACTGAGAATTAGCTATACAGTGAATCCCAATTGCTATTCATTAGAGAACACTTGGATTCAAGGAAATGGGAGGAACCAGATTTAGGTACTTGGGGACAATTACATGTTTTGCAGTAACTGTGCAGCAAAAGCTGCACTAGACTGCACTCAGTGGAGGTGAAATGCTGAGTTTGCTTCTTTTATTATTTGATTTGTCTTTCTTGGGATTCTTTGTTTTTTGTTTGTGGTTTTTGTTTTTTGGTTTGGTTTTTTTTTTTTTTTTGTTATTATCTTCGTTGTGCTGTCCCCCTGTGTACATATCAAGCTGATTCTGTCTCCTGGGAAACATAAATTCATGCTGTAAAAATTAAGTGAATCTCTTGAAGAGCCCCTTTCTGACCACCAGCCAGGAATAAAGTTGTATGCAGTATTATCTGTCCTTTTGAGGGTGTTGTGTGTCACACTGATAGTTGACAAGCCCTATTATTGCCACCTTCTGCTGCAGATTTTATTTGGGAAACGTCTTGTATCACCTAAAGGCAAATAGTCCCCGTGAGCAGCCCCAGTGTGCCTTGTCAACAGGTAGCAGGTGAGGTATCTAATGCTGGCTAAAGACAGAGTGAAATCTGCTGTCAGAATGAAACACAGCAGCACAGAGCACTAGCAAGCCAGTTGTAGGCATTAACAACCAGGTGTACATCACCTGTATAGTGGATTTAAGGCAGAAGTAAAACAGAAATAAACTGTTAATGAGATTCCCTGCAAATGTCCTTCCTTAGAAAGAATTTTAGCTTCACTGCATTAGCAAGTAGGAACGGATGTTGCTTTTCTTCCCCGGGCTACTGGGCAGTCCAGCCCAGTATTTTTATAGAAATGGCAGCGTCTCCCAGGCACCTTTCAGAGATACAAAGTATACAAGTAGAGGAGAGAAATAATAGGCCTGCAAAGTGATCGGTTTGACTGTCAGGAACGTGGGATACTGTCACATCCCACTGGAATAAAATTATAAGTCATTTCCTTGTCATCCTTTCCATATGGAAAAGAAGTTATAAATAACTTCTTTTGTCCCTCATTGAAAAGCCTTCATCCGTACATTAGTTCACCTTGCACAGAGGACCTGGGATGTCAGTAAGCTGGAGTGACAGAAAAGTCACAGGAAAAATCAAACAGCAAGGCTGGGGGGATGTTCATGGTACTGCAGGGGCTCACACTTGCTGTGGGTGAGGAGGAGTCAAGGAATGTGTGAATGAATGGATGGGTTTATCAGATGGCTGCCTGCCTTCCCGGATGGACTCACATCTTGTCAGAATTGTACAGAGCAGCACCAGATTGTGGGCAAACCCCTGGTCTGCAGAAGGAAAGCATGGGAGTACAGGGAGAGCCCCTGCTCCCCAGTGCAGTGCTAAGCACATCTATTGCTCCATTTCCACCTGCTGGACCAGCATCTCAGGTGGTAAAGGGATCATTCAGCCCTGCTGAAAACACAGTGTGCACAATGCATGTGTGTCTGGTGGTCACTTGCATTCTCTCTGTCTCACTGAGCTCTCTTCAACTGAGCTGGAAAGTGTGGTCAAGGATTTTGTGTAGGAAATGAAACTCTTTTCTCTTTAAATCACAGAAATCCTCTTCCCTCTTTACTGGCTGGCCACATTTTTCTAGGAAATTATTTGCATTGGAGAGGGATTATTGCCAGTCAAATTGCCAGAGCATCTACCCTCTTGCTTGTGCAGGACATGACATTGTGGCAGAATGCAGGTCCAAGCCTATTGTCAGCACATCTGTTAACATCTCACTTGAAATAATTTTGTATTTCTCTTGTTTCTGTAAGTTGCCTCCTTAATTACTTGTTAATAAGTAAAGCGAAAAGGAGTTTAAGAAATTCCAGACAATTTATGAAAACTTGATTATCTTAATCATCAGAATATAATAGAAAAGAGAAAGTGATTACAACTAGGAGGCCACTTTTACAGAAAGGCCCACTCCCAGACACATCCACCTTTTAGATAAAAAAAAAAAAAGCCCTGCTCTGGGGTTTCCTGGCAGTGCAAGGAAACACTACACTTTGTGATACTCCTTTGACTCTCATCACTCATAAAACCCGAGTGGAGTAGGAATTCGTCTGCCTTTGAGCTATTTGTTGCAGACCCCAGTGCAAGAAATGCTGCAAAGGAACAGAACAGTAAAGGCCTAAGCATCAGTGGGATTGATCCACCAGCTTTTTCTGGCCTGCCAGCAACCAACAGAGCTTCATGGAAGCTCAGAAAATGATCCTTTATTTTTAAGAAAGACCAGTATAGTATCAGTAATATTTCAGCAAGTTCCTGAATTATGCCCATGACAACTTGACTGTTGTGAGTAAATTGAAATGTTTTTATCTGCTCTGCTGACTGCTAGTTTCAGAAAGGGAGAACATTCAGTCAGAATGAGAAATCTCACACTAGCAGTAAAAGCTGGGCGGGAGTTTTAAAATGGAAAAAGTTGTCTTGCCATTTATGTAAGAAAAAAAATCCCTTTAAATTTCCAGGCTTAATTAATATACAAGAGCAGCAAGAAAAATTTCCAAAAATCACATCAATTTCTCTAGCAAACAGCAAAGGGTGTCAAAGAAAGTGACACAGAGTATGAGTATTCAGTTCATAGGTGCTTTTCTCAAGGTAGACAGCCCAGGTAACATGATAATGTGGCTGGATAGATTTTATAATCGCCTCCACCCTCTTGTCAATATATTCACCTGCTACATTGGAGATCATCCCCTTTTTCTCCTTAGGCAGTACAGCAAGTGGACTACTATGCAAACTGCACTACACAGAAGATTTGACTCTGTCTTCTAGCATGGGAACCCTCTGGCACTTACGATACATTTTAATTTTACTCTGTATTTCAGTGCCGAATACCACAGGGTAAGTAGCAAGCTACTGAATGTAGCTTGATTCAGAAAAATTAGCTGTTAATGATACATATCCATTCTTCACTTTTGAAATGTGGAATGTTTCTTCCCTTTTAAAATTTGGAATGTTGTACAATTGAACGAGGTCATTTTTTAAAAGAAATCATTTAAATTTGTGATTACCTAATTCTGCTCTGACTTCTGTCTGAGAGAGAAACCTTTAACACATGGATTTCTAATGGTTCATCTGAAAAGATCTGGACAAATAGCCACAATACTTATAAAACTCTCTTGACTCTGAATATACCTACAGTAAATTTTGATTTAGGATTTGTCTGATGTGTTTAAAGATATCACTGAATAGAGACTGAGTGGCAATTTTTCATGGCTTTCCCTTTCCCAGGGAGAAGAAACCCAAGAACAACGAAGAAAACTTTCTTACTTTTTTTATCTGTCTTTACATATTCTTTTTCCTCCTTAGCCTGAGCTCAATCTGTTTTCTAGTTGCTTGCTGCATTTCATAGCATCATTTCACAATAAATTAATTGTGATATTTGCTCCTAATCTCCCTAGTTTTTTGAATGTCATTGCTTGGATTTTGAGCAGTGCAGACACTCCTTGTGCTGCATTCACTTGAGGACAGATTCTCTATACTGTATCAAGTACAATAAGGATAATTAAGGAAGGAGCACCACAGAGTTTAGAACAGAACCCTGCCTCCAGAAATTGGGGACCATCCCTTACCTGTGCAAAACACCCAAAGAGCAGAGCCATTTATGTTGTGATCTGAGGGCGGATTTTGGTCTTGTGTAAACTCATTTCTACAGGACTTTGTAGCACACAAGGACTGTGCATTTGTAGCTACTTTTGTTTTACAGCATTTTCAGGGCAAATTAGAAGAGCTGAATAAAATAAAACCTTGTGTCATGAGAGATTTGCAGGGGTTAAAGGAAATATAGAGCCTTCCAACAAGTAATCGAGTTACACAGATCACTGGCTTGCTTAGCAACAGTGGGGATAATAGTGCCATGAGCACTATTGAGAAAGTCTTTGCTATTATCCTGGTGCTGTCTGAGCTGAGATGTATCCATCCATTCCCCTGCAGCTCTCTGGGCCCAGGAGAACTCCTCTCATTCTGGTTCAGTAGGATACACAGCAGAGGATCCTTCTCACCTTTGACTCATTCTCAGAGCTTTGCCATGAACAAGTAACTTCCATATGGGAAGAGAAATTCAGACATAGGTGAAAGCCTGGGTCTATTCAGTTATTCAGTGAAACACCCAGAGGTGTAAATTGAGGTCCCAATATTCTTTCTTAAACAGTTTTTTAATCATTAATTCCACAAGGGATTCACTCCATTTTTTTCTTGATAGGATCAAGCAAAGACCAAGAGGTGGCTTGAAGATATGGGATCCTGAAACAGGTAACTGCATGGCATTAGTGCTGATAACCATCCAAGGCAGGCTTTGGACATGCTGGCTCCTTTTCCTCACTTTCATGTGTTTTACTTCAGCTTACCTCACCAGATGTGATTTCAACAATAACTCAAGGCCATTCTGTGACTGGACCCAGCCTTGCAATGTCAACCAAGGAATGTGGATACGAACCAAGCATGACACTCCAACTCATGGAACAGGTCCTGATGGAGATTATCCTGATGGAAGTAAGTGCTCATTTGTGGTCTTCTTGATTCTCCTTTTCTGAAGACAGCTTGACTACCTTTATTCTTCTTTCCTTGAAAGAGAAAAGAGATTCATGAAGCTCTTTGAAATGTGTCTGGTTTCCTTCATGCTGACACCTGTCTTCGACTTTTCATCATATCAGACAGGAGTGAATTAAACTGACTTCCCCATCATAGATTTGATATCTTTATCAGTGCATGGAAGTAAAAGAAAGCAAATTTTATCACACTTAAGGCCTCACAGACTACTTAGTGACATGGAACAGATGGCTTTTCAAGAGAGAGTTTCTGACCAAACTCCACTGATAGCAGTTTATGGCAACAAATGTAATTATTACTGCACTGGCACAAGATAAAGTTCACACCAGCCAGTTACAAAATCAAGTCTGAAATTGAAGAATATTTTTCAAAACTTTGTCCTCTGATATCTGTGATCTAAAAACTAGAATCTGACGTGGTCACAGTATCAAACAAATACTCCATGGTTCCATCTCTGTGTGTTTGCACTGCTATCCTTGCCCCAGCAGATCCATTTAGGGGGATCAGTCTGCAGTCATACGGCTTCCTGTAATTATCCCAAGACTGAAAGGTCAGCTACTGTCAGAGTCAGTAAGCGGATTAGAACAGTATTAGTTGTGATTGTTGCTAAATAATTTTCTGTTTTGATAATAACAATTAAAATTGTTGGAAGAAAACAATTAAGCATTTTTAATTTGGATTAACACAAATAATAATGTTTTGCTTTTTGAATTGACACAGACCATATAACTTTGATGTGTCTTAGATTTTCTTGCCAACCTAAATCTATGACTGAATGTTAGATGTGATGTGTGGAGCCATACTTTGCCAGACAGAAATGGTCATTCCTTCATTCTTGATTCTTTTCCATAGTCAAATCGGGGAGACTTCACTTTAGCTGCACTGGGGAAAGGTAACTTTGACCTTAGACCACATAAAGCAAAATATTTCAGCCCTAGTAAAGCAAAATCTGATTTCATATTGAACCAATTAGTCTAAAGCATTTCAAATCGTAAAGAAGCACTACAAGGTCCAGAATTTTGAAAAATTTCCTTCCTTTTCATAATGTCAAATTTAAATATTTTGAAGGAAATACCATAATTGCTTTCTATTTCTTCTATTTTGAGACAAAACAAAATGCTAACAGTTTAGAATTATCCTTGTGGCAAGGATTTACTCATCTTGAGACCAAAATATTTATTAAAAAAATATATCCCACTAAAGAACATGTATAGAAGATTGCCTTAATTTCCTTTGGGGAAAGTGAAAATTGAACATAGGTTAGTGTGGTAGTGTCTGGAAGTGCTGCCTCTTGAAAGCGTCCCATGACTTTAATTGTGATCCCAAAATAACTGTTCTTGTGAGATGAATTATGTTTGCGGTGCTCTCAGGCTCACATTCTACTTTCTATAACTACACGACTTTAGCATTGCAATGTGAAGTCCAAACACCCTTTGCTTTGCTTCTTTACACTGATAGTGACGCCTTAATTTCTTCCAGATTTGGATTGTACTTCAGTTTTAAATGATACCTGATAAGTTATCAGAAGCTTCAACCATATTTTAATTTTTGTTTCACTCTTCAGGTGGTTATTTCATCTACCAAGAAGCGAGCAATCTGATCCCCTTTGACACTAACAGGCTGGAGAGCCCAGACATTGTAGTTTCTGGAAAAATATGCATAGACTTCTGGTACTACATGTTTGGAATAGAAGAGATGAATGAGCTCAGAGTGCTTGTCCAAGATGGCACAAGGGAGTCTGTGGTGTGGCATCGGAAGGGAAACCAGAGTTCCGTCTGGGAATATGGTGCCATCACTCACACTTTTCCAACACAGAGAAAGATAAAGGTAAAATATTTGCAGAATATATTTCTTTGTACAGTGTCAGCACTTTTTCTCCCCTTGCAGACTGCAAAGTGTTGTGCATGTAAGCTAGAAAATACAACCAAGATTTGCTTGGTTTATATTTTGCAAATAGAATGGCCTCATGGTTTCTGTCAATGAACTGAGAGAAGAAACCGCCAAACTCCTAGTTTCATCAGTGCTGTTAGTTAAGAGATAAAATTCAGTTTAGTTTTCTCTCTTTTTCCTTCCTTTCCTACTTGATTTTATCATGAAGTCAAGGACTTTAGACCTCTTAATTAATTGAAGGTTTATCTGCTATGAGTTTCAAGGTTTGAACTTTGGGATGCCAGCTGTGTTGGACTCCTCTGTAGAATCCAGACCACTAATTATCATTAATAATTTATAAGTCAGCAAAATAGAGGACAATGTTTCTTGCAGTCCTCACCTTATTACAGAATAATATTCCTTTAGTTGTTATAACCTCATCTTGCCAATTGCAATTTTTAACAAAAAAGCAGAGAGATTAGTTAGAAAACATGCTAAGATAAATGCTCTTGTGTTTGCCTAAACATCTCTGATGTGGGGATCACTTTGTGTCCTGCCTAGGTGATTTTTGAGGCTGTTCGAGGACTGACAGAATATGGGGATACAGCACTGGACAATGTGAGAGTAAGGGATGGACCCTGTGGTAAGTCTGTGCTTGCACTCAAGTCTGTGCTACTTCCTCCTCTCAGTTTAGAGATTAACACAAATTTCCTTAATTCTACTACATATACAATATAGCAATCCCTCAGAACTTCAAACCACAAAAGAGAAATGGCAAAAACTTTACACTTCATTTCAATGTTATTTGTTTTGCTGATATTTCTCCTTAAATCTTTTCTCATCACCTCTAACATACAAGATAAGCTATCCCTTTCTCTGCAAATGTGACCTTTTTCACCTGGTCCAGCAAAATTTATCTTAAATTTATCTAAAATTTATACTTCTAAGTCTGAAGTACATCTCCAAACCTAGACAAGGCCATGCACATTGATCTTGGATTACAGATTAAATGTTCTAATTGGCATTTTATAGCTAATATCAGGTCACACAAGCTCATTAAATATGCAGAACAACCACATGTTACGAAGAGAAAGAACAATGAGTCAATAACACTGAGTTGCACTGCCAGCTTTGACTACAAATCAGCAGTTTGAGTTTGATCTCTGACCCTGTAACATTACAGCCAAGACTAGCACAAGCTGTGCATGGCTGGGATCCATTTTTACTGACAAGCATGAAATACCTACAGAATGTGACTTGACCAAGAAATTTGCTGAAAAACTTAGAGATAGTTTCGTTAGGTCATACTAGGTGTTGTTCTCTGTGAAGTACTTATAAGGTAATGACATAACACGTTTCAAATTTACACTACCTGTGACAAAGATTTCCTTTCAAGTCTACATCCTCTGATCATATGATTCTATTTAAAATTCCATGAAAAAGACTTGGGGCCTTATTTTGTTTGAAGGCTAGGGAGAGCCAGTTCTTCATTTCTGCAGTTGTATTAGCACGTGATTTATCCACTGGATGGTGCACAAAGGTAACTCCGAGAGGCAAGAGCTTCTCTGTTCATCTCACTCTCATACTTGCCAACTGGCAGTAGGACCTTCATGTGTCTTAACATACACCAGAGGGAGTCACACACCTAACTGTAACTGCACATCCAGCTCCCGAGAGGAGCCTGAGCTCAGTCACTGTGATCAAATTAACAATCAGATGAGCTTTCCTAAGAGCTAAAAAGACCCACACAACCCCGGTTTTAAACACAGGCAGTTCTACTTGCTTCACTGAAGAACTTCTAACTTTATACTGGTGATGAGTAAGTGAAAATTCCCGTGTAATAGTGTTCACTCTTTAATGTTAAAGCACATTGTATTGTTTTGTCTTTTCCACAAACAGATGTCCCTACACCTGTACCACCCACACCTACACCAACAGAACCTACACCACTTCCAGTGACAGGTAATTTTAGCCAATCACATATACTATTCAATGGGTTGTAGGACAGTTACATTTTTTACTAGTAGTACTGCTTCATTGCTTCAGTTAATTTCTATGGGTATTTGTTTAAGACATTGCTTTATGCTATGCATATCAGCCTTTTCTGCTTCAGTTCTTCCAGGTGTAATCTACAAAATGAAAGTGATTGTGCAGTGGGAGGACACGATAAGATGGGCTTTTGCGATGTGGCTCTATGTTAATGAGAACATCTTCCTTTTTCCTGTCTGCAGAAGCTATTTGCACTATTCACGGGGATCCCCACTACAACACCTTTGACAAGCAGCGTCATGACTTCATGGGCACCTGCACCTACACCCTCTCCAAGCTGTGTGAGAACAACAGCTCCCTGCCCTACTTCAATGTGGAAGCAGCCAACGAGCACAGGAAAGGCAACACTCGTGTGTCCTATGTCCAGTACGTGGATATTGATGTCTATGGCTACAGGATCAACCTTGGTCAAAAAAGAGCTGTTAAGGTAAGGTTGGAGCCCACTGTTCATCATTCATAACTCATAGCATGAATGAAGATATTGTTGTGCAGTGACTACAAATTTCCAGCATGCACAAAATGATTTTCAGAGGGCAGTCAGGTATTTAGGAGCAGGAGTAATGTGGAGTCCTTAAGCATAGGAATTTCAAAACTGAGAACATAGGCTAAAATTCTGTGCTGTGTTGTTGTAAGGTGGGCTAAGAGCTGAGACTCCAGATGAGGTTGGTGGGTCAGACTACCTTTCTAACCTGCTCCCCATGCTCTAGTTTGGCATGTAACAGGGAGCAAAGAGGCTCTGAATTAGCTGAGTTCAGGCTGGTAGTCATTTCCCAATCCTGTGTGGTAGCCTGTAATGCTGAACACTTCTCCCTGATTTCTACTTATTCCACTTCACTGTTCACTTAACATCTGGCCTTTGCCATAAAGCAGGGTCAGGTGGCAGTCCTGGAGTGACAATCTGATGACTCTCCTTACAGTAATCGTACACTTGGCCAGTTATTGCATTCTGGGACTTCTTTCTGGATCCTTTCCATAAAGGGCCAAGACAGCAGAAATGGTTAAGCCAAATCCCCAGCATGTGAACAGATCACCGTACTTCATTACCCTTCTTATAAGAAAATACAACAGTGATTTAAAAGAGGAAAGGGTTGAAGGTATGCTGAAACCTTTCCCGTTTGATCTTAGAGACAGAGAGAACTGATATGTTCTCATTTGTCCAGCAGCCTCTCTCTGATACCTTTCCCCTCTAGTCGCTGGTTTTATTATAAAAAAAGAATAGGTCTGTAGGCAGTTGCCACAGACAGACCATGTTAAGTCTTGGACTTGTGCCAGCTGTGTCTGGCTCACTAAGACTACACTTGTAAGCTGTGTTATAGCCATGTTGTTATGGCCTCAAGCCCCAGATTATGGCAGCCATGTACACACATACACACATATACTAGCACAGAGTAAGTGCTTCCTGCTCATTGTGTCAATATAGGGCTCTAAGAAGGTCACCATTAAAAATGCTTCTTGTCAAGTGCTTACAATACTTGTCCTTGTCTGTGCCTGCAGGTGAATGGAGTCAGCCAGGTGGTCCCTGTGACCTTGGTTCCAGGTGTCAGTATTTACCTCAGTGGGCAGTATGTTGTGGTTACTACTGACTTCGGGCTGCAAGTCAAGTTTGATGGAAATCAGAGAGTAGAAATCACTCTTCCCAGTACCTACATGTCTAAAGTCTGTGGAATATGTGGAAATTACAATGGGCAAAGAAAAGATGACTTTCTCAACCCAGATGGAGAGATGGAACCAAACTCAACCAGCCTTGGCAACAGTTGGCAGGTTTACAATGACTCCAGGTAGGACTCCTGCAAGGATGTCAGGTTTTACGTGTTGGCTGTGCAATAACCAGTATTTTATGCAACTCTTCTTTGGAGGCCAAAAATGTCTGACAGGTGGGATAAAATCTATCCTTTTCAGTGTATTTACTTTAAGCATCCAGGTAAAGTTTCACAGAAAATTTAACTGGGATTAAAAAGAGAAAATTTCTCAGACTCTTAGAACAGTTTAGGCTGGAAAAGACCTTTAATATTATTGAGTCTAACAGTTAACCCAGCACAGCAATATCCACCAACAAACTATGTCCCCAAATGGCACACTTAGGCGTCTTCTCAGTTCCTCCAGGGATGGTGACTCCACCACTTCCCTGGGCAGCCTGTTCCAATGTTCAACAACCCATTTTAAGAAGAAATTTTTCCTAATACCTAATCTAATCCTCCTCTTGTGTAACTTGTGGCCACTTCCTCTCACCCTGTCACCTGGAAAAGAGACTGTCCCCCATCTCACTACAACCTCCTTTCAGAGAGCTGCAGAGAGTGAGGGGGTGTCCCCTGAGCCTTTGCCTCCCAAGGCCTCAATTCCCTCAGCCACTCCTCATAAAACTTGTGCTCCAGACCCTTCACCAGCTCCATTGCCCTTCTCTGGATACAGCCCAGCACCTCAATGTCTTTCTGGCAGGGAGAGGCCAAAACTGAACATAGGAATCAAGGTGCGGCCTCAAGAATGCCAAGGACAGAGGAGCAATCCCTCCTCCTTCCCCCTTCAAATCTTACTCCACATATGCTTTGTGCCCTAAGGGAGTACAGCTGAAGCAGGGAGGGGGGGAGTGTTTTTGTTCCCTCATATCGTGATGATTCCTCAGGAAAAGCTCAGGCTCCTGATAGGCTCAGGCAGCCAGTATCATCCTTGTAGCCTCACCATGGGGAGGGTCTTTGTCCCTATAGTTCAGGGCTGGATCCTGCCAGGTGCTGGGCGCTGCACACACAGCACCCATATCTTCACATCACCTACGCCTGGAGGGACCCCTGGGCCTGAGTTTTAGGGTTACTTACACATTGGGGTTTTCAGGAACAGTGGCCAATTTAATCAGAAATTAAATGTAAATTAAATGTTTTTGTAGTGTCTCCATTAATGATCTCTTTAAGCACCCTGATGCAACCTTGGCACACAGCTGCAAGCAAACAACACTCCCATAAAAGTGACACTGCCTTTCTCATTTGCTTTGCCTTGCTGATAGGAAAGAAAGGCCACAGGGGCTTCTTTTGTCCCTTGGTGCTGTTTGAGCAAACACAAAGACTATGTTAAATGCAAGCATAGGCCAGACAGGGAGAATGGTCTGTGAGTTTTAGCACTGACTTGGCTAAATTCCTTTTGTACATTTAAATGTATATTTTAGTATTTGAATAAAAACACTGAAGGTGCCCCTGAAGATTTTAGTTATTGTTTTAGTTTATGAATGCTAATACTTGAAGACCTTGTTTCACCTCTTCTGAGATACTTGACTTGTTATTAATTATTTCACAGTATGTTATTTCAGGAGAGTAGGAGTTTAACTTTGGATGTTTTCACTTTCTAATTCCCCTTCTGTGTAAACAGCCTGACTTACCAGAAAGCCAAAAATAAATACTTGAGTTTCATCCAGGCCTCTCAAAGATTATCATGTTCAGATCCTATTAAAATCTGAAATTCTATCCTAAGAGGATAGAAACAGAGGGATTGGAAATATGACATGTTTAGTCTGGGAAGGGACCTGTAGTTTTGGTAGATGTGATTTCAAAAGCATCTCAGGTGCTAGTGAATCCAAAGTTGATCCATTCATTTTTCCACATTTTTTTTCTTTTTTTTTCCATGTTAGATGCTCACCAGATGATGGCCATACTCCAAACTGCACTGATGATGAAAAACATATGATCCAAAGCAGTGCATACTGTGGTCTGATCACAGATCCAAATGGTCCATTCCAGAAGTGCCACTCAGTAATCGATCCACAGAGTTATTTTGAAGATTGCCAGTATGATCTCTGTGAGCTTCACTTGGACAATGCAGCCCTCTGTGAAAGCCTACAGGCCTATGCAGATGCGTGCCAAACTGCAGGAGTCCAGCTGGCACCATGGAGAAATGCAACCTTTTGCCGTATGTATCAAAGATTGCTAGAAATTACCACTTCTCAGGAGGGTTTAATGAGGATTTCCTGAAGACAGAGCCTTACAACCCTGTTTTGAATTCATGTAACACTGAGAATCTTGGCTGATCAGACTAAAGATTTCAGGACTAATGGTTTCAAGGTTCAGTTTTATTCCTTTGGGAAGATGCTAGTAAAAATAGTTCAGCTGTTTTGAATGAGAAGAAAAAATTCCATCTAATCCATCTTAAAATAGAATTGGAGGCCTTTCCTTTGAATTCCTTTCTGCAAAGAGAGCAAGATGAAGAAGGAACTCCTCTAACAACTCCTCTCTGCTGCGCAGGAGATCTGGGATAAAGGGAGGAGACTGTTGTAGACACTATCAGTGACACAGATTCCCATATGTATAAGAGAGTAGGGACCATTCTTCCCAATTGGATGTGGAGGAAAGCATCAGAGTGTCCCCTACAGGTGTAGTCACTCATGGTTTCAGATGGGAGAGGAGCCAACATGGATAGGCAGCCTGGAGTTAAAGGCCAGGACTGAAGTCAAAAGTAATTAAAGATTGTAACAATGGAGATTCTAACAATTCTACTGAGTGTGGAGAACACAGAGAAAGTAGGGAAGACATGGAAGAGACAGACACACATAGAGGCACAAGACAAAAGGTATCAAGTATTGAAGTAATAGATAGATGTCTGTGCTAGGGAGTAAGTAGGAATAATGTTTTTTCTTATTTAAATATTGGTAAAGAGTAAATAAAGAACATTTCTCAAGCATTCAGGTATATATTGTAGGAAAAAAATCATATTATTTTTAGAAGATAATTTAAATACAAATTTGATGTCTGAAATGCCCGACCAGATCTGTTCCTGCTAGAAACAATAAAAGGAACAAGAAATAGTAATTCAGTGACCTATATGCCTTCTGGGCTGAACAAGATGGGGAGACTAAAATGCTTGTCTGAAAATATTTGAATTACTGAAATTACCTCATTTCTTTTCTGACTTTTGTATCCCATTTAACTTCAGTCTCCATCTGGAGCACTTTCCAGGCTGGGGACATTACTGAGGCTTTCTTTCCTAGAGGTTCTATGGTTTCTAACCAGGAGTGAGCTGTGTCTGCATCTCTTCTTTCTGCTGAAAGAGCTTCCAGGATCTCTTCTCCTTGTCTTGTTCCTATTTCCTTTAATGAACCTGAATATATTTTTGTCCTCTGCCAGGCTCACCAACTTATTTCCTGTAGGTCACCTGGGTCAAATTAAGTGGGAGGATGGGCAGAGAAATGTACAAGGTTATTATAATATCTCTGTCTCCTTAGAAAAGTTAGGCTAAAGATAGAGGGAGAAAATATGTCATTAGAAATTGTCTCGCATGAGATAAACATCTGGAAGCTGAAATAAGATTGCTCAGGAAGCGTCAGTCCTCAGATCTTATCAGAATATGACAGTGTTTAAAACATTTAATTACAAAGGACAGTTACATGTCATGCATGTAATAAAATAAAAAGATAGAAGAGAGCATATCTATATCCTGATTATTAAACAAGCCTTAAAGATCTCCATGAAGCAAGAAAAAAATAATTCAGACATTACAACATGTTTGGAATTAAATATCGAGCTATAGACTAAATAGAGCAAGTCTAGAACAAATAGCTAACATGATATTGATATCCTCTATCCAATGCAAGAATTCAAGAAATTGATCTTCGTGTCCTAGGAAATGCTCTCTCTATGCAAAAGTTTGGACAGCCAAACCTCAAAAGAAATTCAAGTGTGATAAGACAACAAAGGCATACATGAAAATACTGCTAATTCCAAGATTTTCACAAACATTTAAAACATTTTAAACGAAATCAGAATATGATATCAAACAAACCCGAATCCATGAGTAATTAAAAAATATTAATATATGTCTTTATCTTTTTGTACACAGCATTGGCCTGTCCGGCCAACAGTCACTACGAGTCCTGTGCTGCAGCCTGCCCTGCCACCTGTGTTGACCCAACAGCCCCAGATAACTGCAGCCTGCCGTGTGTGGAGGGCTGTGTGTGTGACAGCGGGTACCTGCTCTACAATGACCGCTGCGTGCCCAGCCAGCAGTGTGGCTGCTGGCACAACGGGCAGCACTACCCCGTGGGCTCCGAGTTCTGGACGGACGACAGCTGCTCCTCCAAGTGCACGTGTCCCGCACGAGGAAGCAAAGTCCAGTGCTTCAATGCCTCCTGCCCTGCGGGCCAGTACTGTGGGGTGCAGAACGGGAAACCTGTGTGCCTCGAACACTCCTACGGCATCTGCCACGTGCACGGGGACCCCCACTACAAATCCTTTGACAAAGTGAGGCACAACTTCATGGGCAACTGCACCTACACCCTGGCCAAAGTGTGCTCCAACACCACCTCCCTGCCCTACTTCAACGTGGAGGCCAAGAACGAGCACCGTGGCAACACCCGAGTGTCCTACGTGCGCGAAGTCGTGGTTGAGGTGTACGGACAGCGCATCGTCATCACCAAGCAGCAGACGAGCCACGTGCTGGTAAGCAGTGGGGCTGGCTCCTGTGGGGTGTGGCTGCAAGGCAGGGCTGGCTGCAGCTGGCAGGGCCTGGCAGGTGCCAGGGGTGGCTTGGTTCTCTTGAAGGCACTGGGTCACTTTGTTTTGCCTTTCTGGAGGGGCTGCACGAGGAAGAAGCCGATGGGGAACGTGGGCCCTGTTGAGTACAGTGCAGAGCACAACAGACAGCTCTGTGAGCCCCAGTGGTGTTGGGGTGTGAGGACATCCCAGGCAGCTGTTTGCCATGCCTGGGCTGCCAGCTGCTTTCCCTGGGCAGGAGCAGCCAGGGAGGCTGGGGACAGGCGCGGGGCTCACTGTGGCTGTGTGCCGTAGGTGAACAACGTGCGGCAGACGTTGCCGGTGAGCGCAGCGGGAGGGGCCATCACGGTGAGCAAGAGCGGTCGCTACATCGTCCTGGAGACAGACTTCAACCTCAGAGTGTCCTACGACACTGACCACTCGGTGGAGGTGAAGGTGCCCACCACCTACTTCAACCTGACCTGTGGCATGTGTGGCAACTTCAACAACCGCAAAGACGACGAGTACATGATGCCCAACGGGCAACAAGCCGCAAACTCCAATGAGCTGGGGGAGAGCTGGCAGGTCCCGGACAGTGACCCCTCCTGCGGTGTCCCTGTGCCTTCCCCGCCCTGCAGCGCAGAAGAGGAGGAGCTCTACCGCTCCGACCAGTTCTGTGGCCTACTGACCACCAGGCCTAGCTCTTTTGAGAATTGCCACGGCGTGATCAACCCCCAGGACTACTTTGACACCTGCTTGTACGACCTGTGTGCCCTGAATGGTGGCCAGGAGTTCCTGTGTGCTGCTCTGGAGGCCTATGCCGACGCGTGCCAGGCAGCTGGTGTGACTGTTCTTCCCTGGAGGAATGCTACCTTCTGCCGTGAGTTGCCATAGACAAATGAGCCTTTGAACAGCTCAATATCTGTCTTAAGAGGTCGATTTTAGCCAATAACTGACATAGCTTAGATGTCATAAATTCTTGACCTAATTACAAAAAATACTGATAAATAAAACTCTTCAAAATTCATGCCATTATTGTTTTCTGCCAGAGTGCAGAGGATAATTTTGTTAATTATCTCAAGAATCTCTGGTAAACCACTAGCAATATGCCCCTGTTAATGTAGACTCATCTCCAAGTTTTAGATGATGTTTTGCCTTTTTAAGCTGGCTGCATCTAATGATTTTAGCAACCCTTATATGTAAAAATATACTATCTATGGACAAGATCTAATATAGAAAGGCTTAGCTTTTCCTTCGATTTGGAGATGCTTAATAGTCAGGATACAGGGTTAAACAGTCATAATTTTCTCATGTAGTTTATTTTCTTTTCTTCTTTCTGATAGTAAAATATGAATGGAATTTCAGGCTTCAAAAAACCCCCACAGTTGCCACTAGCTGAAAACAATAATGTTGTTGAATAGTGGCTTCATGTGGGATTAGTGGTTTTGTGTGGGTTGTGGTTGTTAATGCAGTCTTTTTTGTTGTTTCTCAGCTGTTGCATGCCCTCCCAATAGTCATTACAATCCATGCACCAGTGCTTGTCCGGCAACCTGCACTGACCCTCTTGCATCGCAGAACTGCAGCAGACCTTGTGTAGAAGGGTGTGAATGCAACAGTGGCTTTGTCCTCAGTGGAGGACAATGTGTGTCCATGAGCAACTGTGGATGCCTCCAGAATGGCAAATATTATGAGGTTTGTTCTGCAACATAGTTCTTATGGAGGGATTATTTCACAACTCAACACTACCATTAACTCTTTCAATTTTTTTTTTATTTTCTTGTCTCTAACAGAAAGGAGAATCCTTTTGGCAACCAGACTGTGTAGGCCAATGTGTATGTACTGGAAATGGAACTGTAGTTTGCAATTCAGACACATGTGAAGTAAGCGAGGTTTGCAAGGTGCAGAGTGGACTCCTGGGATGTTATCCATTGAATCCCAGCACCTGCCACATTTTTGGGGATCCACATTATATAACCTTTGATGGGAGACTGTACCATTTCCAAGGAGACTGCAATTATACTGTTGTTGAGAGATGCACAAATTCTTCTGAAAAGTTCTCAGTGACAACCAGAAATGAACATAGAGGAAATCCAAACTGGACAGCCTTGAACTCAGTTGCTGTCACACTGAAAAACCTGCACATTGTGATGAAGAAAAACAAAGAGACTTATGTAAGTGTTCTTTAAGCACAAACAATCCATCACATCTATGCACTTTACATTTCTGCTCAAAAGAACTTAATTAGGCTTCTCTGAATTCTTCACCTCCAATACAGCACATGCAAGTCACAGAATTTTTTTTTTCTAAAAAAAGGCAGAGATCAGCATAGCTTCTTTTTTTGTCCATTCATATCTTTCCTAAATGAGGTTGTAGGATAAAACAGCTTCATCTGTGTCTTCATCTATAAAAGAAAGCTGTTACAGAACCAAATCTCAATGATTTACTTTAAACTAACTACCCCACAATTGCTCTGTGGGTCGTTGTGACAGCAGAAAGATAAACTTGTGCCACAAAGCACTATTCAAGATCTGAAATAAGTGTACACCTTTAGTCTCTGCTTAATCTCAGGCTTCTGTTATCTGCATTCTTCATTAGAGTACAGCTGACTCAGTGAAGAAAGCCATAATGCTGGCAGTGCAGATGTCCTCTTTTTTCCTGGGACCACTGTTGATTTACTGGGTTCTGTGGGGTTTGTTTTCCTTAGGTGAATGGAGTTCAGGTTTATCTTCCTGTGGATTTGAACAACGAAGCCAGAGCATCCATACAAGGACACTACACAGTCATTGATACATCTCTAGGGATCCAGGTTAAGTTTGATGGTGACCAGGAGCTTTTTGTTCTGGTTGATGAAAGTCTCAAAGGACAATTGTGTGGTCTCTGTGGGACATTCAATGACAACCAACTGGATGACTTTTTAAACCCAGATAAAGTCCTAGAACAGGATCCAAATAAATTTGGTGACAGCTGGATAGTGAAGGATGACAACAGGACGTAAGTATCAGATAATATTTTGAGAAACAGTAAAATACCTGAAGTATAGATCATCTAGTTATATGTCTAACATACATTATTTGCATTCCATAGTAACCCTCTTCTGATATTACTTGTTTGCTAGTGTGTTCTCTTTTGGATAACTCCAGATTTCATTAGAAAGCATTGAAATTTTAGAATTTCAGACAACCTTCAGATCTTCTCCACAAGAGCTTTATAGATTTTTCTTGTGATTGGCATCCTTTTTTGTGGATAGAACTTGAATTTTTCCTTACTTCCCTATTCTAAAATATTGCCTAAAATACCACTTATAATATCACCCTAAAATATTCCTCCTTCCTGCTATCAGAAGTCTATCTCTCAGATTCTGTTCCTAAGATAACTTCACATAGATTAATGTAGGCATGTGGCATTTATGTCTATTAGTGTTTATAAGTCTATTAGTGCTTTCACATGCAAATTATTACTCTTACTATATGCAGTAATGAATTGAAATTATCTTTCTTGTGTTGGATAGCTGATTTTTTTTTGTTTCTTCTGGACTTTGTTCTGTGGATAGACGATCACAATTTGCATCTGTATTCTTAATGAGGAATTATAAGTTAAATCACACTTATTAAGTTAAATTCTCACTTTTGAGTTTGACACACTAATGATGTCTATACATAACAAATCTCCGGAATCTGGCATAACATTCCATTATAGTTGGGGTATGCCTTACAGGACAGAGCAAAACACAAAGGTTTATTATATAACTACTCTGCTGGGGTTTTTTTCATGCAGGTGTAATCAAGTTTCAGTTGTACCGCCCGCTTGTGACACAGAAAAAGAGAAAGAATATGAAGAACTCTGCAAAATTATTTTGAAAGAGAATGGAACTTTTCAGTTCTGCCATTGGCACATTCCCCCACAACTGTACTTTGACAGCTGTGTCTATGATCTGTGTGCCACAGAGGGGGATTCTGATCAGTACTGCAAGATTTTAGAGGCATACGCTGCTGCCTGTGAAACTGAAGGTGTAAATCTGGGTGAATGGAGGAAGGATACTATCTGTGGTAAGTCGTTAGGACATTTAGCAAATAACCACCCAATTAAATGCTGCAAATTCAAGTGACTAAGGAGTAGGGCAGAATTTCAGAGATGAGCATTCAACGAAACATAGGAAGCTTTCAAGTGCTTAGCATCTCTGTAAATTTGGCTTCTAATTAAGCTTTTAATGGGCTTCCAGTATTCACTTTAGAATGTGATATCTCAATACATTTGATCCAAGAGCATTGTTCAGAATGGGGTCGTGAGAGACAGCATGCACTGTCAGCTAAGGGCTCAGCAAGGGACCATTGATCACTTGTCTAACAAATCACCACTTTGGCTTTAAGAAAATATTTTTTCTTTTTGAGAAGTGTTAACGTATCTCTTAATCAACCTGTCTACAGGGCTTTAAGAAAATATTTTTTCTTTTTGAGAAGTGTTAACATATCTCTTAATCAACCTGTCTACAGGGCTTTAAGAAAATATTTTTTCTTTTTGAGAAGTGTTAACATATCTCTTAATCAACCTGTCTACAGCTCCACATTTTCATCAAACATGCAAAGTTCCTAAGTGTAAACCAGGGTTTTAAAATCAGTGAAGAAGAATCCTGCAGCTTGAGGTCCATTCAGCCTTAGGCCATCATTATCTAGGCAAACCAGTCAATACAGAGGTAAAATGAGAGGCATGACATTAATAGAATCATAGAATAGTTTGGATTAAAAGGGGCCTTCAAAGGTCATCTAGTCCAATTCCCCTGCAGCAAGCAGAGACATGTGCAACTAGATTGGGTAAGTCACCATCTAAGCTCACCCTAAATGTTTCCCAAATTACATCATCCTCATGGTAAGAAAAATCCTGCTTGTATCCTTAAATTGCTTTTTCTGGAGCTACCAGAGGTAATTACCAAAGCCAGCAAAAAAAGCAGCCTAAGAATGAGGCTATTACATGAAAAGGCATTCTGGAACTGCCTTCCAATTCCAAGACAACACTTCTCATCCCAGTTTATGAGCAGTGAAAAGCAGTGTCAGAACATTCTTATTAAGAAGTCTACATTTCCACTTAAAAAGCACTTTGAGAACCAGTTGAATACTACTTTGTTAAACAGGACAGCTTTGATCAATTTGCAATGGTAAAGGATTATGACTGTGGCCTAGTGTAAAAACATAGGATCTTAGTGCATTATGATGACACATGACGAAGGGAGTTGTAAAATAACACACATCCTCAGACACTTACAATTTCATATTCTATAGTCCATTTTTCAGTACTGGTCAATTCTACCCATTCCATTGTAACATCTTCAAATTTTTCATGGACATGGGTTCATTAGACCTAGAAGGGTATTTCCAAACAGAGACAAGATTCCAAACCTTATTTTGGAAATTCTGTTTTTCTTTCTGCACCATATACAGGTGCACCAACAGGCTGCAATATGTTCTGTACATTTGAAGTTGACTTCTGTGAGTGGAAACAGGAAACTAATGACAACTTTGACTGGATAAGGCACAAGGGACCAACACCCACACCCAGTACTGGCCCTTCCCATGACCACACGACTGGAGGTGAGAACAGCAAATAGTATCGGGCTGTGCTTTTCTTGGAAGAATGCAAGAAGCCTCTTTTAACAGCTAATCCACGCCATTTGTTTCTAGGCTTAGTTCAGGGCCTTCAACACTAGTCAGAAATCTGTTATGGGTAGATGAGTAGCACTGACCATTGATGAGCATGTGGCCTCTTAGCATGAGTTCCTGTAAGGAGGCTTCAGGAAAGGTATATTTGTGCTGACACTGGATCACTGTGGCAGCTGGCCTTTCCTTCAGAAGGTGCTTCTTTCCTTAAGTACAAGACAAGTATAATCTCCTGTAAATCCATGTGGGTATTGAAAGAATAATGCAGGTACTGGGTGAAGTAATGCTGTACTGTACACACTCATCAAATGAAGTGACTTTGTCTTATCCTGGCCCATTAATGTGAAAAACTGACACTCTGCTGTTTCCAGAGGGCTATTATATCTACCTGGAAGGAAGCAAGCAACAGCCAGCTGATGTAGCCCGCTTGGTCAGTCCAATGTGCAGTTCCGAAGGATTTCACTGCTTCCGCTTCTGGTATCACATGTATGGACCGGCTGAAGCAATGGCCCTGCGTGTGTATGTAGTTCACAATGAGACATCTACACTGGAATGGGAAGATGTTGGAAACAAAGAGGACGGATGGAACTTGGGAGAAGTCACGGTATATAACAGAGGAAATATGCAGGTAAGAACATAGACTCTCAGTGAGATGAACCGTGCTTTCTAATGGCAATTCATTTGCTGCCTGGAGCTAATGACAGGGTGTATCCCTTCCTTTAGATTGTCCTGGAGGGCATGATTGGTGAAGATCTCCGGAGTGATATAGCTTTGGATGATCTGTCCATTGTAAAGGGACAATGCACAGGTACATTGGCTGGGAAGAGGGCACCAAGAATAAGGTTATGCTTCTTCTGGGAGTCCGTATAGTTGCTGTCTTCAACCAGAGCTGGTCAAGGAGGATTCATAACATTGTATGGTTGTTTCTTTGATAGAGGGCACTACAACAACAGGACCCACAAGCACAACACCATCAGAAGAGACACCCACATCAACACCCATACCAGATTCAGGTAAGTAGAATAGACAAGACATGAGAAAACAGTCCAATGTGCAGGGCACGTTAGGGAGGAGAGGCAGTAGGAGGTGCTCAACTGAAAGTTTTCTCTGGTCTTTCCACTGTCAGGCACCTGTGTGGTGGAAGGAGACCCTCACTACCACACATTCGACAAGCAGTTACACCATTTCATGGGCACCTGCACCTACACCCTCTCCAAGCTGTGTGAGGGCAACAGCTCCCTGCCCTACTTCAATGTGGAAGCGGCCAACGAGCACAGGGGAGGCAACACCCGTGTGTCCTATGTCCGATACGTGGATGTCGATGTGGCTGACCAGCGGATAAGGCTGGGACAGGGTGGAGTGGTGACGGTGAGCTTGGGGGGTGCATGCTGTGGGGCTGTGGGAGAGGAGAGAACTGTGCCAAATGGGCTGCTCCAATCCTGTCTCGGTTCCTGCCCTTCCAGGTCAATGGAGTGGAAGAGATCCTGCCTTGCAGCCCATCCGAAGGCGTGCAGGTCCTGTCCAGCGGCTTCTACACCATGGTCATGACAGACTTTGGCTTGAGAGTCAAGTTTGATGGGAAGCATCGGGTGGAGGTGACACTTCCAAGCACCTATGGGCAGAAGGTTTGTGGCATGTGTGGGAACTACAACGGGATGGCAGCAGATGACTTCCAGAACCCTGAAGGGACAATGGAGCCAGACTCCACCAGCCTGGGCAACAGCTGGGAGGTGTCCAACAACAGCAGGTGAGCATGGCCCCCAGCAGCTCTGAGGATACATTGGGCAAGGGAAGCAGGAGGAGAAGGCATCAGGAGAAGTCCACAAATGACCCAGGGGCCCTTCTGCCTGTCTTTCCACAGCTGCTCAGCCGGACTTCTGCCCACCCCAGCCTGCAATGAGACTGACAAGCAAGTCATCAGCAGCAGCCACTTCTGTGGGCTCCTCACTGACCCCAGCGGCCCATTTCAGGTGTGCCATGCTGTGCTGAGCCCCAACAGCTACTTTGACACCTGCTCCTATGACCTCTGTGAGCTGGGGCTGGACCGCGAGACCCTGTGCAAGAGCTTGCAGTCCTATGCAGATGCCTGCCAGTCACTTGGTGTCCAGATACCTGTGTGGAGGAATGCAACCTTCTGCCGTAAGTCCAGACATGGTACCATGGGCCAGTACACTCAGAAAAACACAGGACACAGTGGACACAGTTGGACGAGTGAGCTGGGGAATAAGAACTACCCTCCCCTATTGGCTGTAGGGATATAGAGATAGATATCAGTATTAGAGGCACCATTTTCTGTTTCATTTTCTTCGGGTACGACTGAGAATACAAGTAGAGCCAAAGAGACCGTAGAGAGAAGAGAGACAGTTCCTTTTTCAAAGGGGGCTATTCAGCCAAATGCTGTATTCTGTTCTCCAAGTAACTGCTTGGTTTTCTATCT